CCTCAAACTCGTAACAATCCCCCTGCCTCAGCCTCCTGAGTGCTGGGATTATAGGCGTGCCCCACCACGCCTGGCAGTTGGCCTTCTTTAAACTGGAAAACCAGCCTGGCACTGGGCATGGTGACACATGCCTGTAATCCCATCTTTGCAAATTTGAGACCAGCCTTGGCTACAAAGTGATCTCAAGGCCAGCCTGAACTGCATAATGAGACCCTGTCTCAAAAAGACAAAAAAATAAGGGAGGCTGAGGCAGGAGGATTGTTGCAAGTTCAAGACCAACCTAAGGGGCTGGGGATCTAGCTCAGCGGCACAAGTGCCTTCCTGGCAAGCGCAAGGTCCTGAGTTCGATTCCCAGTACAAAAAAAAAAAAAAAACCACCTAGGCTACAAAGTGAGCTCAAGGTCAGCCTGAACTGCATTGCGAGACCTTGTCTCAAAAAGACAAAACAAACAAATAAACAAACAAAACAAACCAGCCTGGAATGGGGGCACACATCTGTATTCCCATCTGCTAGGGAGGCTGAGGCTGGAGGAGCTCTTAAACCCAGGAGTTTAAGGCCACTGTGGGCAACACAGTAACGCTGTATCCAAAAAAAAGGGAAACAAAAATAAAACAAGACAAAATACAACAAAAACAGCAAGCCCAAGCTAGAGGAGTAGGTCAGTGGTAGAATACTTGCCTAGCATGTGGAAGGCCTTGGGTTTTATCCCTAGCACTGAAGGAAAAAATAAAATAAAATTGTATGCTGCCCACCACTCCGTTTTCCTCACCGTTCTATGGTCAGAGCACCTACCACCTTCTGACTTCCCATCTATCGTCTGTTTTACCTATTGTCTCTTCACTAACTCTTTTGCCAAGGAGGCCAAGAATTTGTGTCTTTTTTAAAAACAGTGTTACACATTCCCATCACCTCAAATGCTGTCTGGCATGCAGGAGATACTCACTAACCCTTGGTTGAATTTCTGAATGTTTCTGTGTTAGTGGAAGCTGGCTCAAGGTTTGAGCCATGTAGAGTTTGGGTCTTCCGTGTAGCCTTTGTGGAAGGAGATAAGCAGCTCCAGGAGAGGTGCTGGGACTATCCCACAGTAACACGGACACGGGGGCAGAAGGCCCCTAAACCTGCTTCTCTTGACTTTTTATTTTTATTTTTTGACCCTTGCTAAATCAAGTTGCCCTGACTGGGCTAGAACTTTTGATCCTCCTGCCTCAGCCTTCCAGGGTTCTGGGATTACAGGCCTGCACCACCACGTCTGCTTGCGTCTGCCTGGCTACTAAAAAGACATCTGAGGCCATCCTGGACTCCTTGCCTTGACATCTCACCCCCAATTTCTATATTATTATTTATCATTTTTGAAGCCTGTTAACATTCTCTACACCACCGTGACCATAGCAGACTACTGCTACCAACCCAGCCTGAGCACCTCAGTTGTTCAAATCCCTGCGGACCTCCCTCGGCTCAGGACGCAGATCGACTCCTCTCGAGGAAGCTTTCGCTGACTAAGCTTCCTCCTCTGGCCTCCTAAGCCTCACTTCACGCACATTCATTATGGGCACCGGCTGGCGGCCTGTCGCCCACGTGGCTGGGGGCACCTGAAGGAAGCCCCGTAATTTTGGGGTGCCTGTGTGGGTCGCCGCAGCGTTAGGGAGAGCCGACTGTGAGGTGGCCCCGGAGAGTAGAAGGAGAGCCAGCAGTCAGGCCGAGAAGCCAATGAGTGCGCGTGAAGGGTGTTCCGCTGCGTCAGCGAGGCCCAAGCCGCCCTTGGGAGGAGGAGCCCAGGAACCGGTGCAGTTGGTTCGCGGGAGAGCAGCGCAGCGGCCCGGGCTTCCTAGCGGCGCCCTGGTACGGGCCATAGAGCTGGGTTTAGCGGGCTGCGCGGCCCGGGAGCTCTCGGCTTCTGCATTCAGAGCGGAAGGGACAGGGACCCCGGCAACACCACGAGGCGCTAGGTCCCAGGTCCGCGGTCCCCAGAACAGCGGCGTCCGTCTCTGCGCAGACGCGCCGCCCGGGCGAGGAGGGGCGGGGCCTGGCTGGCGGGGGCGGGGCCAAGACCTGGATCCGCCTCCACGAGCGCCGGGGTCTCGCAGGGCTTTGCCCCCGGGCTGTTCTGGGGGCTTCAGGTGAGCCGGGGCACATAGGGGTCAGGGACACCTCCCTCGAGGTCAAGCCGTCGGGCTGACCGCGGGTCCATCTGTCCTGCCGTCTGCCCGCGGCCGCCTCTCGGAGAATGGGAGAACAAAGGGAGGGGGCGGTTCTGGGGCCCCGGAGGGAATCCAGGGTCCCAGGTACTCCACCCCGCCCGCTGACACTTTCGGTTTCTCCCCGAGTCTTAGGCGCCGCCCAAGAGACCCTGGGCTGGCGCCGGGTGCAACTGGCTCTCTGCGTTTGCTTGTCCATCTTTGTGTCTGTCTCTGTCTGTCTGGCTGTCTCGAGCTTGCCTCCACTTCCAGAACTAAGCCGCCTGGGCACCAACATCCCACCAAGCCGCCCCCTCTCCTCTCATGGCAGGTAATTGGGCTCCCGGCTGCGGGGAGGGGGCGTCCTCCGTTATCCCCCCCGCGGACTTGGGTGCGGGGTGTGGAACACATCCTCTAGGAATGTGCTCAGACTGGCTGGCTGCGTGGGGCCCTCCCTTCCTCCTGGAGCCGCCGCCCTGCTCCCCTACCCCATCCTTCTCCGCCTCTTCCCACATTTCCCGCGGTGCCTCTCGGCCCTTGGGCTGAGGAATAAGGGGATGAGGCTGCAGGTACCTTCCTAATTTGCCCCTGCCCCCCCGACAGGTTACTTACCCCCCAAAGGCTACGCCCCTTCGCCCCCACCTCCCTACCCTGTGACCACCGGATACCCGGAGCCCACACCGCATCCTGGGCCCGGGCAGGCGTCCGTGCCTGCCCAAGTGCCTCCCCCTGGGCCTGGCTTCGCTCTCTTCCCTTCGCCTGGCCCCGTGGCCCCCGGGCCTCCTGCCCCCTTCTTGCCACTGCCAGGGGTGCCTTCTGGTCTCGAGTTTCTGGTGCAGGTGAGTGGCAAGAAGGGTGTCGGGAGAGGAGCTGGGCGTTCAGGCTGGTCAGTTGATGACAGTGCTACCCCTGCTTTTCTCAGATTGATCAGATCTTGATTCACCAGAAGGCTGAGCGAGTGGAAAGTAAGTTGGAAGGAGAACTCTGCGGGGCCTCATTACTGTGGCAGGGATGGTAGGTAGGATGGTGGGCACCTAAACCTCAGTGTGTCGCCCCCGACAGCGTTCCTAGGCTGGGAGACCTGCAACCGGTATGAACTGCGCTCAGGGGTCGGGCAGCCCCTCGGGCAGGCGGCTGAGGAGAGCAACTGCTGTGCCCGCCTGTGCTGTGGCACCCGAAGGCCACTTCGTGTCCGCCTGGCAGACCCTGGGGACCGCGAGGTGCTGCGCCTGATCCGCCCACTCCACTGTGGCTGCCTCTGCTGCCCCTGTGGCCTCCAGGAGGTAGGTGGGGAACCCTGGGCTGCAGAGAGGCTGAAGTGTTAAGTGGGGTAAGAGGCTGGCCTTGATGGGGCAGAGGTTGGAAAGAGATGTGGCTCTAGTGGGAGTGGGCAGGTGGAGATGACAAGTTTAGTGAGGGGCTGGGTAGACAAAAGGTAATGAATGCCAGATAGCGCCAAGACCAGTAAGAAGTTGGGTCAGGGTGCACGAGCTCAGCAATGACCTGTCTGCTTCCCATTCCAGATGGAAGTACAGGCTCCACCAGGCACCACCATTGGTCACGTGCTACAAACCTGGCATCCCTTCCTCCCTAAGTTCTCCATCCAAGATGCTGATCGACAGACAGTCCTGCGAGTGGTGGGACCTTGCTGGACCTGTGGCTGTGGCACAGATACCAACTTTGAGGTATTGGGATTAAAGCAGAAATTTCTGGAATCTTCATAAAGCAAGGTGGCAGCTTCCATGAGGCATTTGACTAACTAAGGTCAAGACCCTGAAGTCATCAATCCAAATCCATTTGACTTCTGCCATACTTCCAGTTTTCCTCCATTCAGAAATGGGATGGCGAGCTGGGTGTGGTGGTACACACCTGTAATCCCAGCACTCGGGAGGCTGAGGCAGGAGGATCCTCAAAGTTTGAGACCAGCCTGGGCTACAAAGTGAGCTCAAGGCCAGCCTGAACTGCAAAGTGAGACTCAAAAAGACAAAAAAAAAGAAAGAAAGAAAGGAAGAAATGGGATGGCTTTGTGGTTTTACAAAAGCATAGCAAAAAGGATTTCATCTTTAGAACCAATATTGATTGTTACCTACACTGCTGGGTTGGGGCTAGGGGAATCTGACCTATCTAACCTGAAGTCCAAATGATATTCTACTTATCCATCACCAGTGGAATCTAGAGAAACAAAGTGATATGTTTCAGGGTGAGGCTTGAGAAATACCTGTTTCTAAAGACAGAGGCACTCCATAGACCCCAGGGTTCTTTAAAGGATAATTTCCTGCACAGATAAGACAGAAGCAACAGATATTATCCAGTAGACTTGCTAACACTTCTAATAAGGTACTTGACCTAAGGGTACATCACCTGGTAGTCTGAGGGAGGTTCTGTGTTGGGAACCAGTGGGGAAGGAGATACTTATGGTCTCTGTATGGAAATGTGTAGATTGTGGATTCTCAGAGGGCCAGTGTCACTTTTACACAATTCTGAATGGTCCATACTGAGGCTGCACCCTCAGGACTGCAGGGCTGCTGGGACAGGCCCTGCTTAGCCTGGGACAGAGCTGCAGGAAGTTCCCCAAGCTGTAGAACAGTGGAGGAAGGGGATGGACAGGATATAGAAGGAAATTGTTCTGGTCCTAGTCACCAGATACAGAGTATAAAAAAAGACCAGGAAGTAACTATGAGTTACTACCCACATCAGCGGAGCCTATTGTTGCTGGGCTCAGAGAGTTTAGTGAAAATCAAGGTCCTCAGAGGCACCTCCGTGCAATCAATAGATGAGACTGATGTGCAGTGTTGGACGGGGCATGTCCCTACTTTGCAGACTAGAGAAAAGTCATCCTTTGGGCAGACATAGCCATCTAAGAGCCTGCTTGGCTGGTAAAGTACAGCCAGGATTTTGTCAGCTTCTTTTGCTGTCTCAGCCAGGCTTCTCTGCAGGGTACAGACTACCAATGGTGGGTGTCAGGGACATTAGTAATCAAACCAATAGCCAGCCATATGCTAAGGAGATGTGACTACATCATGCTTCCTTTTCTCTTACTATTCAGTTACATCATACATGGGCTTTGGAGAACAGATCTGAATTTGAACCTTGATTTTTGCTATCTACTTGCACATAATGTAGGGTGCCTCAGTTTCTCCAGCTGTCAAATGGAAACTGAAAGCTGTTAGGATTCACTGGGTATAGACCCTGTACTGTTTTGTTTTGTTTTGTTTTGTTTTGTTTTGTTTTGTTTTTCCAGTACCGGGAATTGAACTCATGACCTTGTGCTTGCCAGGCAGGCGCTGTGCCACTGAGCTAAATCCCCAGCCCCCGCTGTACTGTTCATACACGGTGACTGGGGGGGTAAGCTTGGAGGCAGTGAGACTGGTCACATCCTCCTCAGTTGGAGCCTTTTTCCCTCCCAACAGGTGAAGACCAGGGATGAATCCCGCAGCGTGGGCCGCATCAGCAAGCAGTGGGGCGGGCTGCTGCGAGAAGCCCTCACGGACGCTGATGACTTTGGCCTACAGTTTCCTCTGGATCTCGATGTGAGGGTGAAGGCTGTGCTGCTGGGGGCCACGTTCCTCATTGTGAGTTGGTTGCCCCCACCCCTCCCTTCCTGCCAGTCCTTGGCTATCACTTGATGCCTCTTGCTAGGACAGTGTTAGGGACAGGTATTATGGGGGTTTGTGGATCAAGACTTAGGTTGTTCTGGGTGTGATGGTGCACACCTGTAATCCCAGCACTTGGCAGGCTGAGGCAGGAGGACTGTTGCAAGTTCGAGGCCAGCCTGGGCTACAAAGTGAGCTGAAGGCCAGCCTGAACTGCATAGGGAGACCCTGTCTCAAAAAGACAGAAAAAAAAAAAAAGACTTAGGTTGTGATAGCTGAGCCAGACAGGCCCAGCCAGATCCGTTGACAATGGCTCCCCCTCAGGACTACATGTTCTTCGAGAAGCGAGGAGGCGCTGGGCCCTCTGCCATCACCAGTTAGAGGATGCCTCTGGGCGAAGAGACTGTCCCCTCAAGCAGAATTCAAGATGGTCACTTGCTCTGGCCTGGCCCAGCCCCACCTCAGAGACAGCCCCTTTCCTCCATGTATACTGCAAGGGACAGACAGGGGTTCCTGAGTGGCTGGGGGCCCTGATGCCCCAACCCTGCCCTCTCCCCTGGCCTCCTTCACCTGTGGCCCCACAGAAGGGTATATATAAGAGCCCTTTCCTGCTGCCTTCCAGTGGTCCCTCTGCACAAAGGCATAACAGCTTTCAAACTTCCCCTGCCGCTCCTTCTCACCCCCTTCAGGGCCTCTGCACCAGAGAGGTCTTTGGAATCCAGGACTTTGGTTTGACCACGGGGTTAGTGGGGGAAGAGCAAGTAGCACCAAAGATGGCAGACATGCTGCCTTTCCCCTGCATCAGCTTGGCCAATGAGTTCAGCCTCAGACTATAGCACTTTGAGGGGATTCCCACTTCCCCACTAACAGCTGTAAAGGCTGGGCCCTCGTGCCAACCTCCTTTCCCCATTGGGCCCGGCCCACAGCTGGTGCTTGCTGCAGCTTCCTGTGCCTTACTTAACCACCCCTCCCTTCCCTTGCACTAGGAAGGAGGCTGCATCTTTGTATGCTGTATTCATATAAAGTTTGTAACTTTTTGAACATTGGAAGATGTATGTAATGGGGGAGGGTAGAAGAATTGATATGGGAAAACACAAAGGAAACTCTTGAGAGCTGGGCTGGGGTTGCCCCATCTCATAATCCATGCTACTAGGATCAAATGTCCTTGAGTCTAAGAAGATAATTTCATCACCTATAGCAGCACTGGCCTAAACTAAGGCAATTTGGGCCACGTGTCTCAAGTTGATGTGGCTACTTCTATCATCTAAGATGGCTGCCTCACAAAGTCCAGTGAGGTAGCATATGGCAGTCCAGGATGGCTGGTCCCATAGTCCAGTATAACCACTTGATCGGTGACTGTAGTGAGTAGAAGCTTCCTCTAGCTATGCTACATTGCAGCTCTTTTCCTTCAGGTCTTCCTCTTATTTGATAATGTGATGACAGAGTAGCTTAGGTCCTTCTTGTCCCAGCCAAGGATTCTTAGACCCTCAGAGGCAGGGGACAGGGTAGGGAGGAGACTCATCGGTGCCCAACCCTGGGTTTCCCTGAGTACTTGCTGTATTTGCCAGTAGCAAGTGGGATCTCCTTAGATGTAAAAGTCTGACCTTAACCCTGTCAAGACTTTAACTCTGGTTCTGCTTGTTCTCATATGGCCAGGCCTTGAGGGGCCCAGGGGTTCCATGCTGGTGTCTGTGTCCTAGGAAGCAGAGCTCAGGACTGGGCTAGGATGTAGCGGCTGGCAGCTGAGAGGTCCCACTGATAATGCTCCAGGATGCGCCGGCAGTCAGCTCTGGACCATCTACTCAGATGGAAGAGCTGTTCTACCTATGGGAGCAAGGGAGAGGGCAGCTGACTTCTACCCTAGGTGGCAGGGATAGGAGAAGGAGTCTGAGAGAAGGCTCTGGCTTTACCTTGAGGTTCCGGATGGCGGAAACCACATCTCCCCCTGTGGCTCTTAGTGCTGCCTGGCATTCCTGGTGGGTGACTCCATGCACACTCACCTCCACCTGCAGGGGACACAGCCTCACTCAGGCCCTTGCCCTACCTCTAGGCCTTTCTGGACACCTGGCCATTGCAGTGAGACCTCACTCACCTCTGTTATCCTCCTCTGCCATTCAGTGTCAGGAAGGAGGCCTCCAGAGAGGACAGGGACTTTACTGGCTCCAGGTGTGTTAATGCGGTGATTATGTAGGGGTTCTCTTTTGGGCCTGGGAGGCCTTTCTCTGGGGAGCTGGCTGGGCTGAGAACTGGAGGTAAAAGGTGGGCGTGGAGGCAGGCCTTGGAGTCCTGGGGGCACAGCTCTGGCACGTCGAAGTTCAGGGGGGCTTGAACCGCCCCCTGTGGGGCGAGGGCCCAGGGACAGAACTGACTCCAGACTCTTGGAAATGCCTGTACAGTTGAGAAAGAAACAATCTGAGAGGAGACCCAGGTCCTAGGTCCCACTTTTTCCTGCTTTCTATATCTGTGCTGAGCTGGATATTTTCTTGAGAATTTCCAGGTGAGGCAGCTAGCACTGTGCTTGGCTGGTCCATGTGGGGTTTTTTTTTTTTTTGTTGTTTTGTCCATGTGTTAAGTGGGACAATAAAGCAGGTGTAGAAATGGGCATCAAGACTTAGGTAACACCAGGAGTGGTGGCACACGCCTGTAATCCCAGCACTGGGGAAGCTGAGGCAGGATGATCACTGTGAGTTTAAGGCCAGTCTGGGATACATATTTGAGTTCAAGGCTAATCTGGAATACTGTACATAGACCCTACCTAAAAAAAAAAAAAAAAAAGAGGGAAAAAATAACTTAGGTAACTTGCCATGTGTGGTCGTAGTGGTGTATGCTTGTAATCCCAGCTACTCAGAAAACTGAGGCAGGAGGATCACAGGTTCAAGGCAACATGATGAGACTCTGTCTCAAAAATTAAAGACTGGGGATGCATCTCAGTGGTAGAGGGCCCCTGGGTTTGACCTCCAGCACTGAGGGGGAGAGAGAGAGGGAGAGGGAGAGGGAGAGGGAGAGGGAGAGGCGAGGATGAGGGGAAGGAAGGAAACTTGATGGCCCAAACTCAGGCCACAGTGGAAAGATGCTGTCCACTGGGGAGAGCAGAGAGCTTTGACTCTTAATATCTTAAAATATAGCTAGGATGCCTGCAGGCAGGATTTGGAGGAAGGGAACCATATACACAGGGCTATGGATTCAAGACGGGCAGAATTGGAGGCTTGTTATTGAGCTGTACCCACCTCTCATCCTCTGCAGGGCCACTTTCCTTCTCTGGCCCTGTCCTGGAGGTAGATCCCGAGACTTTTCCTTCTCTCTGTCCCTGTCAAGAGAATGATCCAGTTCATCCTCCACCCCTCACACACACGTGTCCCCTCCCAAAGAAACAGGCTCCAGGGTGTGCTGAGGCCACCCTGGAAGCTGCAGCTGAGAGGCAAGGCCAGCTCCCCCTCCAGGTTCGCCCCATCCTGTCCCCAAGCTTCTCTTCTGGAGAAGCTGATGGACTTGGACAGTCCCCTCACCCTGGTTGTCTTCAACCATTTTAGTTCCTCACCTGGCCATGTTCCCCTGGCATCGCTCTCCCCCACTAGGGGAGCCTCTGTGGACTGGACGTGGGGCTGAGGAGCCCCCCGGGTCTGCAAGCATCACCGCCGAGGCTGGGAAGCTGCCCACTTTGAAGGTGCGGCCGTTCTGCCCCTTCCAGGTTGTGGCGTCAGAGCTGTGGGAAGAGGACTGGTGAAGGGGGTGAGAGCACGGGGGAGAACAGCAGCTGGCTCCGGCCCATTCAGCTCACCAAGCTGTGTGCCTTGTGGCTGCATCTGCCTGGAGGAAGGGAACTGTTTTTCTTCCCAACACAAAAGGGCTCTATGGCCAGTCAGGCCCTAGAAGGGAGGCCAGGACTGCTCTGGAGCTCAGGGCTCAGAGGCAAGGGGAGAAGACACAGAAGATGAGGCTTCGAGGAGTTGGGCAGAAGTGGGAGGGGTTCAGGAATCAAGAGGGCTTGGGAAAGTCCGCTTCCCTGTGGATTTTTGGAGGCCGTCAGGCTGTTACCTGCCCTCAATGATGGTGATGGAGTCACCGGGCTCCATCTGCAAAGCTCCTGGCTCTGTGACATCCCTCACACAGCATCCCTCAGAAGGCCAGGCCTGTGGAGACAGGAGGAAAGGCTGGGATTTCAAAAAGCCTGAGTCCAGGCCGGGGATATAACTCAGCAGCACAGCGCCTGCCTGGCAAGTGCAAGGTCCTGAGTTCAATTCCCGGTACCAAAAAAAGAAGCCTGAGGCAGAAGGGTAGTATGGGAGTAGGAAAGGAGACCTCTTTTATGCACCAACCAGTCAAACCCATGGCAAGTATATCCTCTGTGCTGGGTCCCAGTGAGATCGTGCCTGTCTCCCAGTTGTAATCTACTGGTCAGTCCTACCTAGACCCCACGCCAAGCTAAGCATACCCCAAAGTTCCAGGAACAGCAATAGAGGGCCCTCTCTCTATCTAGGGGATCAAAGGGAGCAATTACCACTTCGACTCTGCACCCTGGCCTGTGAGGTTGCCTCCCAAGTACCTCACGAGAATTTCCAGGCCTCTCTAGTACCATTTCCTTAACCCTCACCCACCCCTCTTGCTCTCCCTTCTGTTTCACAATCAGTGTCAATAGGATCTCTCAAAACCATTCTTGGACCAGGCTACAGTAAAATAACACAAAGTTGGCTGTAATTCCCCTGCTCGACGTATTTCTACAACACCCAAGTACCCCTGGAGTGAAGACTAAACTCCTTTACTAGACAGCAATTTAGGGAACAGCTCTTGAAGTCATATGAAGTGGTGCTAGTCTCAAATTCCTCTGTGGTTTTAGGTAAGTTACTAAACAGTGCCTCAACTGTTCCATCTGCTAAATGGAAAAAAGTACCTCATGGGGTTGTTGAGAAGCCTCAGTGAGCAAACAGGCCTAAGTGTGCCTGCACAGCACCTAATAGTGTCTCACACGGCTCAAGTGCTCTGCGTGGGAGCTGTGGTTCCTGACATGCCCCAGAAACCCTCCATGATGCAGCCCTGCTTACCTCTGTAGCCTCATTACTTCCATCTCCCCTCCCACGCAGAGCTTCTCTCTGCCTGTCACACACCCACGGGGACCTACTGCTCTCTCTTCTGGGTCCCTTTCTGGCCCAGACACACAGGCCTTCAGCCTGCATGAATGTAGCCCTTACCTGCCTTTCCAGGGATCTGAGCTCCTGAAGGTAGGGACTGAATATATTTTGCCCAGAACTGGGTCCCAGAGCCCAGCACAGGTATCTGGATATCTTAGTCTTGTGCATGGAACCCTGGGGGGAGACGGGAATGGAGGGAAGAGAGAATGTAGGTGTCTAGGGAGGAGCTGGGGGTCCCCACCTCTTGGAGCAGCCCCTCCAGGTAGGAAAAGCTAGGCCTGTCCGAAGGATGGAGAGCCCAACAGCGCAAGGCGACAGAGTAGAGGGCCCTGGAGCAGAGTGGAGGCCTCCGCAGGCGGGCTCGGTCCTTCTCCAGCAGCTGCAGGATGAGGTATGGCGGGACCCCAGCCCAGGGCTCCTCGCCCCCAGAGAACATCTCCCACAGCGTCACCCCAAACATCCACACGTCGGAGGCGGAGGAGAACGCTCCCTGGCGCAGGCTCTCTGGGGCACACCTGCGGAAGTGGAAGCTGAAGGGGGCCCGATATGTGCCCCGGAGCTCCCACCCCCTTGGGTGCAACCCTCAGTCTCAGAAGTCCTCCTTTGAGCCCCTTGAGGGAGGCGACGGTCTCTGCTCCCAGCTTCCTTTGGAGGCTGGCCCGCTCCAAGCTTCTGCCTGACTGCCGGCCTCCAGATTGGCCCCCACCGCCCTCCCAAGCCGACCACCCGCCGCGCCCGGGCCCACCCTCACCAGGCGTAAGGGATGGGGCGGGGACCGCCCATGACATAGCGGCCCCTGGCGCCGCCCAGCGGCCGCACCAGCCCAAAGTCCGCCACCTTGATGGTGCGGGGCGACGCCAGCAACAGGTTTCGCGTAGCGAGGTCCCGGTGTACTAGCCCGCGGGCGCCCAAGTATGACATGGCCCCCACCAACTGCCGAAGGAAGAGGCAGAGCAGAGTTACGGGTAGCGGGGGCGTTGGGGCCGGGGCTGTCAGGCGTGCATGCAGGGAGCCCAGTGGCGCCAGCTCCATCACCTGCAGAAGCACAGAACCATGTGAGCCTTGGTCTGGCTCCACAGCACCTTCCTGCCGCACGCCAGGCTTGGGGCTCTCCGAGGAGCTAGCGTCCAGATGTGCTCACCATCTGTAGAGGCTGGCCCAGTACCAGGCCATGCAAACGGAGCACGTGTGGGTGCTCCAAGTTCATCATGACGGACACCTCTCTCAGGAAGTCTCCCAGCTCCGTGCCTACAGGGCCTTCGGGACCCACTCGAAGGGACTTGACAGCCACGGGGACCTGGTGATTGGAGAGCACCATTAGGCACCCTGGGACCAGCCATGTCAAGGCCAGAGCGCAGAGGACATGAGGAATGCAGAGGGCAGTTGTGCCGGGACCCTTGCATACTCACACTCTGGCCACTAGGCAGTGTCCACAGTCCTCTATGTACTACACCAAAGCAGCCTGAGCCCAGCAGCTCCCTTCTGCACACAGCACCCTCTGGGATCAGACACTTGAGTCCCGCCTCTGGCTCAGGGAGGCTTGCAGGCCTTTCTGAGGGTGGGGTGGTCTCCTTTTGCTCAGGGGCAAAACCACCAAGGATCTGAAAGAGGAGTGGGAACTCAGGTGCAAAGAACCTTGCAGAACCCCCCTGCTACTTCACTCACCCCATTCCCAGGCCTAAAGAGGCTTGAGCCCTTCAAACATCACCACCAGCACTGCCACATACCTTGTTGACCCAGTTCTTAGGCTTGACTCCTGAACGGTGCCTCTTGAGCACTTCAGCCAGTCTGCGCTGGGCTGGGAGAGGCCAGAATCAGAAATAGGGTGTCGGTTGGAGTGGACAGGGTGCAGAGAGACCTATATGCAAGAGGACTGGGACGTGGGGGAGTGGGCCTGGCAACTGACAGGCTGGGAAGGAGTGACCAGGGCCTCAGTGCAAGGGTTCCTCACCAGGTCGGCCCATGCCAATGCTGTCCAGGTCCTCAGGCCTTACAAAATTGAAATGCTCTGGCCGAGTGACATTAAGTTCTTCAAGGATGGGTCGATAAAACTGGGCCAGTTGGATGTTCCGGAGCAGCTGTAGTAGCCACAGGGAGCCAGCCTCAGGGGACATGTCTGGAGAAGAACTCATAACGCTGACAGCAGTCTGCTTCAGACGTAAGGCCTAGGGTAGGACCTAAGACACTCAGACACAGAGACAGGGTCTCCAGTGCCACCTTTCACCCATCAGAAGCTGGCACAGACAGGGGAAGGGACACATCAGAGAGAAACAGGAACCCTGCCTTTCACAGAGGCAAATCCCGAGTAAGATGCTCCTTACCCCCAACACTCCAGATACTCTATCCACCCCCCAATCACTCCTCTCACCAGAAACCTGCTCCCTTCACAGCTGAGGTTTCAGAACACTGCCTGCCGTGGCTACAGAATCCAGGTGTGTGACTGTCCATGCTCCAGAGAGATACCGGCATACTGCCCCTGTACCCTCCGGACACCCACTATACTGTGCCTTTAGAACTGGGATACACCGTTACACATGCCCAGACCTTTCCCCTCCTTATACAGGAGACATTTTTGCCTCCCCCACACACTGGAGATGCCCAGATACACTAACCGTACCATACCTCAGAGATGTAGGCACAGCCAGGGATATAGCTCAGCGGCACAAGTGTATACTACCTCCCACATACTACCATAAATCCACAGATTTACTGCCAAACATGCCTGAGACATCCACAGACTATCCTCCCAAATCAGAGACATTCCAAGTGTGGTGCCACAAAACTCCCATATACACAGTTGAATGAGGCAGTGTGATACCTCCATATACCGAAGATACCTAGATACGCGCCCCCCCCCCCAACGCCTGGGAAACTCAGGGCCACATAAACACACACAACTCACCAAGACAGCAAAGTGCAGTGCCCATACACACCTAAGTTATGCAGCCATACTGCCCCTCACCCCAGCGACACTCAGAATCATGGCCTTTTAGTCACCCAGGGCAACAGCATTTGAAATCAAATCAGGCATTTATGATGGGCCAAATGCAGGCCACTGCTAAGCTTGGTTACTGCCCCCAGCGCCGCCTAGGCTGCCAGATGCATTCCCACACACCCACCAAGCTCAGCCAGCACACCTGTGGCACCGTCTAACTCCGCTTCAAGGCTACTATACCAGCCTTTATTAAATAAAGCTCTAGGGCTAAGCGCTCTGGGTACCGGCTGCCTGCCAATACACCTGCCCGCCTCATGCCCCAACTTTAGTTACGCTAGAAGGAAGCGCAGAACCCCAGGTTAGGCCCCCTTGGCAACCCTGAGGCTGGGTCCATTTTGCCAACCCGGGAGGAGTTGGGCGTAGAGGAACGCTCAGGGCCTGAAAGACCTAGTTAGGCAGTGAGAGCAAAGCGCAGCAGAACCAAGACCGCAGAAAGACCCGAGATGGGGAAGGAAGGCGGCCCAGTACCCCGCGGACGGACCCCAAGGGCGCCCCAGCTAGTAGGTGCGGGCGCTCACCTAGCCAAGGCGGAAGTGGCGGCTGCGAACCGCCCAGGCTGCCAGCGCTAAATCCCGAGAAGGGCGGGACCGAGGGTGGGTCCTGGCTGCTGGCCCGGACCCGCAGGGGCCGCGCCCCCAAATCCCTGGTGGCACAAGATGGGAGTGGCCGCAGCAGCTGGTCGCGCTTCCTTTCTGCAGGTTAGATCGGCCCCTAGACCACGAGAAACTTGCCTTCGCCTGCCTTCCTCACACCTTCTTTCCAGCCTTCTCCGAGGAACTTCCACCCTCCCTGGACTTCCGCTGGTGGGTCCTGTCTCCCGTATGCTTTCTCCCCAACGCTTCCTTTCTCTTAACCAGGATCCACCCTCAATGAGTTAGCACCTGATGCAGGTACTCTGCCCGGAAGCTGCGAACATAGGCGGAAAAGGACACAGCGCGGCCCGGTCCTGGGAGACTGCGCCCTAACACGCTTCAACCCACGAGGCCACGCCAGGCCAAGCAGGGTGCTTTGGAGTGGAGCCAGGGCGCAGGGATGTTGATGTTGGTCCAAAGCTGCTAGACATATGGCCTGCTATGGGTGAGCATAGCAGCTGCTGTCGCCAGCATCTCTTGGAGGGAAAGCCCTTCTTGTACTGACAAACAGGATGTTCCAGCATATTCAGTGGGAAGGTCTTTATAATGCTGTTCTCCATGAATTGTCTTCTTGCCAAGTCTCTCGCCCTCCAACCAGGCCAGCTCAGCAAACTATAATTGTTCCCTCCGTGCCTATCATTCCTGACACACTGTGAACTCCACAGGATAGGGGCAGAGCCTGTCTTATTTATCTTTGTATTCTAATTGTCTAGGACAGTATAGCACACTATAGATTAGGTACAATGCCCATCGGTTGTAAAGAAATCTGCTCAGAGCCAGGCGAAGTAGTGCATGCCTGTAATCCCAGAACTCTGAGAGGCTGAGGCAGGAGGATTACAGTTTCAAACCCAGCCTGGGCAATTTAGTGACTTAGAAAGACTCTGTCTCAAAATTAAAGGGGAATATAGCTCAGCGGTAGAGCCCTTGCCTACTATTCATGAGGCCCTGGGTTAAATCTTCAGTATCACCAAAAATAAAGTCTGCTCAGTCTAATTGCATCTGATGATCTTTGTAGATGATCTGTCATTATTCTCTCTTTTAAGATGTGGTGTTTTATGAGTTTTCGTATAATGTGTCTAGATATCCATTCCTTTCTATTTATTTGCCTCACTGTGTTGTATTTCCTGTATGTATGACTTCACATTCTTAATCAGATTTGGATAATTGTCAGCCAATATCTCTTCAAATACAGCCATGCAAAAAACAAAAAAAACCAAAAACCAAAAAACAAAACAAAACAAATACAGCCATGCACCACATGGCATCGTTTTAGTCAGTGAAGGACCCTGTACACAGTGGTAGTTCCAGGAGATGATAGTGGAACTGAAAAGTTCCAGTCACCTAGTGGCATTGTAAGCCATCATAAAGACTTACTGCAAGGCATTACTCACAAGTTCGTGGTGATCCTGATGTAAACAAGATGTATGGCCAGTTATATAAAAACAGAATTCATAACAGCCAGGCACGGTGGCTCATACCTGTAGTTCCAGCTACTCAGGACTGTCTCATTTTTAAAAAGAGGGAGGGGGCTGGGACTCAGTAATAGAGCACTTGCGCAGTATGTATGAGGTTCAATTTTTTTTTTTTTTTTTTGAGGTTCAGTTCTTAATACCACACACACACAAAAATAAAATAGTCCATGTTAGGTAGGTGAGGTGGCACACACTTGTAATCCCAGGATCCTTGTGAGTTCAGGGCCAGCCTGGGGTACATAGTGAGTTCAAGACCAGCCTGAACTGCATAGCAGACTCTGTATCAAAAAAACAAACAAAAAAAATTGTCCAGGCTCCTCTCAAACTTGTAATCTTCTTGCCTCAGCCTCCCAGGGTGCTAGGATTACCAGTGTGCACCACACCTCTCAATTTATATAAATATATTTTAAAATCTGGTGCCTTGATGATAGATAGGTAGATTATTTTTTTATCCAATTTAGTTTTTTAAAAAACAGCTTTAAGGTATAATTAGCATTAAATGAATTGTCCATTTCATAAGTGTGCGATTTAAGAAATGGACAGGCTAGTCTTAAAGTCACTGTGTAGCCCAAACTGGCCTCAAACTCAGGGTGATCCTCCTGCTTTAGCCTCCCAAGTGCTGGGATTACAGGTGTGCACCACCACGCCTGGCTCTCTGGTGATTTTTTATACATAAATTTTGGCAAATGTATACATCCATGAAACCGTCACCATAGTCCAGGTAATGAAAATAATTGTCTCTCCTAAAAGTTTCCTCTGCCCTTTCACAATCACTTTCTCCTACTCGTCCTTCCCCAGAAAATTACTGATCTACATTCTGTCACTCTAGACTACTTTGCATTTCTTAGAATTTTGTATAAATAGAATCATATAGTATGTACTCATTTTCACCTAGCCTTTTTTTGTCCCATTCCCCACCTGGCCTTTTGTACTCAGCAGACTGTTTTGGGGTTCCTCCCTGATGTTATATGTGTCATCAATGTGTATTCTTCTTTAATACTAAGTAGCATTCTATTGTGTGGCTATATCACAATTTGTCCATTTTATTGGATTATTTTCAGTTTTCAACTATTATAAATAAAAGTACCTCGAAGACTCATGTTCAAGACTTTCTGTGGGTGTGTTTTCACTAACCTTGGATAACTACCCAGGGGTAGAATGTCTGGGTCATATAGTAAATATTTTTACATTTTAAAGAAACTAACAAATTATTTTCCAAAGTGGTTGTACTATTTGGAAGTATTACCAGCAAAGTATGAGAGTTCTAGTTGCTCTACATCTTCATCAACATTTTACTTTTTTATTTTGAGATCGGGTCTATGTAGTTGAAGCTGGTTTCACACTCAGGGTGATCCTCCTGCCTCAGCCTTCCAAGTGCTGGGATTACAGACATGCACCACCATGCCTGGCTCTCTGGTCATTTTTTTATAGTTTTCTGTTATTTTTTCATGTTTGACTCTACCTTATCTTCCTTTTTTTCTGGCTGTACTGGGAACTGAACCCATGACCTTCATACCAGGCTGTGTCCCAAGCCCTTTTTCAATTTTCTATTTTGAGAGGCATTTTCCCTAAATTGCCAAAGCTCAGCCTCCCAAGTGCTGAGATTACATGTATATGCCACTTGGCTGAAGCTCTGTTTTATTTTTGGTTTTTTTTTTTTTTTTTTTTTTGTTTTTCTCTGGTACCGGGAACCGAACTCACAACCTTGTGCTTGCCAGGCAGGCGCTTTGCCGCTGAGCTAAATCCCCAGCCCC